CTCTCTCTCTCTCTCTCTCTCTCTCTCTCTCTCTCTCTCTCTCTCTCTCTCTCTCTCTCTCTCTCTCTCTCTCTCTCTCTCTCTCTCTCTCTCTCTCTCTCTCTCTCAAACACGTCGTTGCTAAGCATTGTTTTTAGAATGCGCTATCGCAGAGCTGATTGGCTAGACCTGCCTGTCATTCACATTGGGTACATGGGTCAGTGTTTTGGGCCGGGGTCGGTCGTGACCGGCGGTCACTTGTTCGTCGGCTCATCGTTGGTGTCTCTCATTGCAGCCTGCTGACCACTGGGTGCACGTGCACAACATGAAGACGACGAGTGATGACGGAATACTTGACCCCGATGACCTCCTCAGTGACGTCGTCGACGATCGCGAGCAGGTGAGACGACGGTGGCGCCCCCCTACGGCCCGCCACCCGACGATGCTTAACGACGAATTTGTGGTTATTTTTGATTAACGCTGCTAATTAATGACTTCTGTTATGGGGTCATCTGTTATGTAGAAATCTTCTACTGGCCAACTAGCCAGCTGGACTTGTGACCAGCCGCGTAACCTTGTTTCTGTCCGGCTGTGTAAACTCTACTTCTATCCAGTTGACAGTCCAGTTGTTAGGAAACTTTATATCTGTCCAGTTAGTAATCTTAACTTCTAGCCAGTTAACAGACCTAACTTCTGCCCAGCCAGTAAGCTTTACATCTGTCCAGTGAGTATCCATCCCGACCTTGACCTTGACCTTGACCTTGTCATCAGTAGGTATCCATTCCGGCTAATTTAGTCTGTTCCGTCGCGCACACAACCTTTATCGACCTTGACCATGACCCTGACCTTGACCTCGCCACGCAGATCGAGGCGAGCTTCGAGGAGCAGACGCAGCCGCACAACGGCGGCGACGGAACAAGTGGCAGCTCTTCCGTCGGCACGTCCAGCCCCGAGCTGATAGGTCGTTGTTGTTGTTGTTTGCGGCGGCGGCGGCGGCGGCGGCTGCAAGGCAACAAGGACTACGACTACTGCTGTGCCAACGATGTGGAGGTCACCGCTGACTCACTGCCACCCCCAGGTGAGAGAGGGAGGAGGAAGGAGGAGGAGGAGAGGGAGGGAGGGATAGAGGCAGGATAGGGAGAGAGGCA